TGCAACCACATGGAAGGATCACAATTCATTATGTCTCATCTAAACTGCTGCCAGGGCTTTCAGATGAAATTGTGAAGCTTTGAAAACACTGCAAAGGACTTCTATTTTTTTTAATTTGCGAAGGTAAAATAAAATTGTCCATTCAATTATGGAACCCATTTACTGTAACGGATCATGATTGAAACATTCCTGTCCACACAAATATTTCACAGAGTTTTCTTTTTAGTGACAGCTCTTCTTATCCTTTTGTCAGTGTTACTGGGAAGGTTTGTAAGAACTTTTTTTTAGTGTATGAAAAAGATTCTATTGTTCTTTATTTCAAAGACATCTATTTCCTATATTGTGGGGAACAATAGTTTGTGATAAAATGATAGTCTTTTATATATAATGTATTCCTTTTTTGAATACTTATATGCTAGAAGGAAAGTTATTTATGTCATGATAATTTTGTAAAATAACTTAAAACTGGTTATTCCATTAATAAACATTCTAAAATGCCACTTCTCATAACTAATATAAGAATCACTTCCCATGATTGGACTGTGGGCTTGTTGTATGTTTACTTATTAGCTCTTTGTCTTTTGTTCTGATATTTCCAACATAAAATACCTGTTTTCACTATTCTCATGTTACAAGCATGAAATTCTCTATAAAGATAACCTGTGTTTTCCATTTTAATTTTGTACGTTCTATTTGAAACATAGGAAATACATAAGTATTTTATGAATTTATATATATTCTACTTAATCTGTTGTTTCAAGTCTATGAAGCCTATCCTAAAGCAATGATTATGGCACTTAAAATGTACTTATTTGCCTAACATTTTTGTTAAAGTGGTTTTTAGGTATCATATGTTCTGCAACGCTCTGGCAAGGGAGTGCAAATAATACTTCAAAATGAAACTGCACGTTTTTACTTCAGTCCTTTTTTGATTGAGAAGTTATGAATGTATCTTGCTTCTTTTTACAAATGAAAATGCATTCTAATGCAATTAATCTACCCTATTAACTTTACTAAACATCTGCTGTATTTGTTAAACACTTCAAAGCTTATTCTAAACTTTTAATTCTAAGTAATTTCTCAGTTAAATATTTACATGGGTTTCCATGTTGGTTAGCTCAATCTTGTCTTAAATAATAGGTAGATTGTCCAGAAACAGCTATGTGGAATGTAACACTGTAAAAACTATCCACTGGAACTGAAAATGTTTAGCTGGTTTGGACTATTTTTTGCATATTTTCATCCTAACTAAATGAGGTAATGACTTATGAATTCTTTTCTTTGTCAACATTTTTTATCTCCATAATTCCACTTAAAAAAAAAGGAATGCCTGTATAGATACATATAGATATTGGCATCATGAATATCCTAAATACAGTCTCAAGCTTTTAGAAAGGCATTTCAGCTTTACGTTTGTGAATTTTAAGAATAACACAATTTACAGTGACTTTTGAAACAGATTAAGTAGATGGAAAAGGAATAAAAATGGATAAGCATTATTATTTGACAAATTAAGTCAAAGGAGAAAATGCATAGATTATGCAAATATGCCATGTGCACAAAGAATTTAAGAATATGATTCTCTAACTAGAAAAATAGTGTAAATCTGAAAAATGTTAAGTGGACAAAGATTTAAATAAATTCCACAATAGAAATCATGCCATAGGTGGTAAATGATTAATTCTTAAATGAACTGTAAAACATTTTTATGGTTAGACATCAGAGAATGGAATAATCATTTCAGATGAAGAATACAGAAAAGACCAAGAGAACCCTAAAGCAGTATTTAAATCCAAGTTCAAGTTTTGAAAATAAACATAATTATATGTAGAGCAAAAACCTGTCTCTCACCACAGACAATCAGTATTTTTCAATCCCACTGTTTTCTTACTAGTCTTTATTTAGAATCCATAGTCAAGTAATTTTTTTAAATGTCAACTAACTTTCAATAAAGACAGATGAAAAATATTCTGAACATTAATATAGTATGACTAGCATAAAAATTATTATGGCTAATTCAAATGGTGAATAATCAATTAAAGATTAAAAGCAATTTCCCAATTTTTTATCAGATTCCTTGCTGGCTGGGCCTAAATTTAACAAAGACAGTGTGGTGGGGTGGGAAGCCTGTTATGTCATGAACATCAAGGGGGCATAGTAATGCATTTATATATGTGATTGTACTATATCTTAATATTTGGGATTTGCACACAAAATTTCTTGTGTTTTTAATCTATTAAATACATTCCAAACCAAATGTAATATTTAACCATTACATAGGCTTTTGTTGTATAACTTCCCATACTGTAATGGGAGTGAAAATTTGATTGTTCGAATTTTGTTCAGAATTAATTGTACTCCCTTGATGAATGTTTGGTATGTGTGTGTTTTAGTAACTCATATTTAAAAACACTGAGAGAGCTGTCAGCATTTGGAAGAATATCAAAAATGTTATCTATAAATTTGATTATTCATGAAATGATAATAGTTTTCCTAAGGGACAGAGAGAAGAGTTTAATCTAGCGCCAAGTTTGTGTCAGTCTAATAAAAAATGATACAACTCCCTGTAATTATATTGTAATTAATAATTGGTATATTTGGATTTCAACATTTTTTTTCCTTATGAGTATTAGGAATTTGCCATCTTAAAGTTGGCCTAATTAGCCAACTTTCCATATCATTTGGTAGATGTTTTTTGCAACAACAAATAGAACTGATAACTTCTCCTTTGCCTAGTTTTTATTCCTGTCTAAATCAATAAAACATAGACTCCTCATGACCCATAACATTAAATTGTTCCAAAGATAGATAAAAAAATTGAAAGTAATAAATACATGAATGTTATTAGTCTTTTGTAGAGCAGGAATAAATTTCTGGAGGAACATATAGGCTTGATGACACATGAAAATTTTTGTACTAATCCTTTTTTGAAAACTAGTTATTGTAATTTATACTGAATTCTGACCATTTTATCAAATGAAAGCTATCTAAATGAGAATGTTAAATGTCTATATTTAAATAAATTATATGTTATCACATTTATGAAAATTTAGTTTCTATGAAGAAAGTGAGTATATACATAATAATTTTAGGTTATCATATGACCATTTAATATTTTAGTTTAAATATAGCCATAACTTGTATAGAAAAAGTTCATGTTATAAAATTGTATCATAATGATTTTTAAATTAGGTAATAAAGAAATGTTTCTTTGAGAATTCACCTGAATTCACATTTTTTTGGCTATGTTATTACTATATTTCTCATTTATTTGAAATCATTGATGGCATTTAATATGTGATAAATTAATCATAAATATTGGTAAAACATTTTGAGAATTACTGCCAAAAACTTTTATTAATGTGAATTGATTTCCCATTATGAATTTTTTTCTATTCAGACACTAATAAACATATACCATGATGAATAAGACTCAAATTCTACCTGTGAGTCTGGTGTGAGAAACAAACATGAATAATGATTTAGATGAACTTGTAATTAGTACTTTACATGGCAAAAACAAGGAACGTTATGACAGCAAAGCAAGGTTTCATCTTTTCATGTAAGAAATCAGGACAAGTAGTCTGTGTCTTCTGAAGTCCAAGGCTCTAGTGCTATGCTATACCCCCTCTCAGACTGGGTTTTCTGAAGGTCACTTGACCATGATGTTGATAGTGGAGGATTTGAAGTAGGAAGCTCTTACAAATGAGCAAGAATAGTTGGTAAGAGCACTAAAAAATACAGAGAAATAGATGACTCCAATATATTTTGAAGATGAATCAGTCTCATTTTGGTTACTGGATGTGAAAGAAGCTGGAGAGAGGAAAGCTATGGTGTATGAGTTCTAGATTTCTGGCTTGATCTCCAGGAGATGTTTTGTGGATTTATTCAGCTGGGAGGTGCTGGAAGTGGATCCAGTTTTGGAGGAAAGATCTTAAGTTTGTTTTTGTTTAAGTTAGTTTTTTTAATGAAGTACTTTTTTCTTACTTTGTTGTCAATTCTTGAACTGTGTAAGAGTTCTCCCCTCAGGTGTGTGGTCACTGTAAGTTTGGTTTTTTTACATGTTAAATTCTGGATGACTGTGAGATAGCCCATAGGCTATGTCAGGAAGGCAGTTGGCTAAGTGGATACATAGCTCAGGAAATAAGCTTGGAGTTACAAATTTAGACTCATTGACCTAAACAAGTTGAGACCTACACTATATAAGATCATGGCAAGTAGACTGTAGACAGAAGAAAATGAGCTGAAAACCCATATTTAAAGGTTGTACAAGGAAGGAAGAAACAGCAGAGAAACCAGAAGAAGCTTTCAGAGGCAATAAGTGGCATTAACTGCCGACAAATTTTTAAAAATAGCAGTATCGTTTTAAGTGTCACATTGAATATGAATTCCTGTATAATAGTAACTATCTTTGAGAATCAGATTTGACTTCCAGATTAATAGTACCTGGGATTTCCGGACCTTTTTATGATATGAAAAAATGATTATTTTTTTCCTTTCACTTGACAATGTTATGAGAAAGTATTAAATAATGTCAAAGATACTAAAAATTAAATGTTATGAGTAGTCTTATGTTGAAACCCACATCAAAATCATGTGCTTTCTTAGAGGATACTCACAGAATGAGGCTCAATCAAAAATGTAGTTGTTTTGTGGAGTTTAAATATATAAAGAGACATTTTTCTCTGCTTGCAAAGATTGTTATGATTTAGTTACTCTATTTTGGTGAATTGAGGTTTGGCTTATATGAGAGTCTTCACTGGGAGTGAACTTTGGACCTCATAGCTGCTTTGGAATTGTCTTTTTTTCTGGAGTTAAGTAAAAAAATAAAATTATCAAAGAAAGACAATTTGTCATTATTAATATTGTGTAGTCTAGCCTTGAAAGAGCTCAAGTTTAAAAGTTTTTTTTAATAAAGAAGGTTTTAATTTTTATGATCTTCTTTGTGAAGCAGGTGTACATGAGACACTCTATTAACAGGTATCCTTTCTTTCCCATAGGGTTCGCTGGGGATACAAGGTCCCCAAGGTCCACCTGGAAAAGAAGGTCAGAGGGTAAGTAACCTTGGAACAACTGGCTGGTATTACTAATTCAGGAGTTACTTATTTATGTACACTAATAAAATAAAACCAAAATGTGATAAGCAGATAAACATAAGGAAACTATCAACTGCCAAAATGCTGCAATTTGATATTTTGACAGAACTATTTAGAATTCAGAGAATTCTATGTATTTCCAAGAGTGGTAGCACAAATGTAGAGATTTAGTTGGGTGAAATGAATTAAATACAATTTGACCTAGAGACTTTGGTCTTATTTTGACATTTTGAGTTATGCTCATCTGTGCAGAGTTAAGTTGATGAGAATTCTTTGTGGAGTTCTAGCCCATTCATAAATTCTGTAAAAATTGTGAATATTAACTACATGCTTTCACCAAATTCAGTTATTGACTTTAATAACCTTTTGTAACTTTCATTTCAACATAATTTATTGCCTTTAAGGTAAAATATGCAACAAGTGGATAAATGTACTTGCAATTGGAAGTAGCAATTACCTTCTATCTCTAGTACAGTCTTCTTACCCCTCAATAAAATTAACCTCTGGAGTGACAATTGGTCAGCATTGTTTGGACATTTTCAGCCATGGTCCACCCCCCTTTCAGGGGCATATTGTCATTTTTACTATTTTTAAATCATTTCTAAATCTCAAAATATTTTATATGTGATTTTTCATATGATTTTTATCAACTTTTATTACTTTATAAATGAAGATTGTGTGAGTCAGACAGTTTAGGTGACTTGTCTAAAGTCAAGGAGCTAATAAAAATTAGAATCAGGACTTGAATTTGGGGCTTCTAACTCTAGAATCCTTATTTTCTTTACTATCACAGTATATTAATCCAAAATCTGAATCCTCTGAGTATTTCAAGACCAATGGCATATTTTTTCAAGGCTACCTTTTATTAAGTTAATAAAATTTCAGTTCTCTTTACTCTTTCTCTTCTGTAGACCCTCAATATCTTAATAGTCTTTCCCAAAAAACACTCATGGATGTCCTGGAGGTGTCAGGAATGGGATTGAACATATGTAGTCTTACTTAGGTAAAGTAACATGGCAAATATGTCCTGTACATAGACAGTGTACTTCTGTTGCAACCTGCAATTGAGCCAATGGTTCTGTATATGGTATTGCACCTTTTTCTTTAAACAATTCCTCCCACTAAATTACCTTTTTTCTTACTTTATGTTTTACGTATGGTATAACAGTTAAGATTTGATTTGGAAAGAATGGAATAAATGATATCAAGTTTTTGTTTAGTTTTCAAAAGTTTCTGTCCATTTTTATTCCCAGTGGCCCTGGTAATCAACCTGATTGGGCTTAACAGTTTTGATAACTAAGAAAATAAATAAAAATTTTGTAAATAAAGACTATCATTTATGGGCTGCCCATATTTACTAAATGCCTCAAAATTATTATTTCATTTTCCTTTCATATCAGTCCAAAGAGGTATATTCTACTATAATCCTCATAAGAGAAACTGAGGTTTTTAAACAACTTGGATAGGATACATTGCTAGTAAAGATACATTGCTGTCTGTATCTTTTAAATTATTTACAAAATAGTCACATTTGGGCTCTACTCTCAACCCCTGTAACTCCTATATGCACAGTTGTAGCTTCCTCTCTAGCTTTCCAGACCTTTCTACCCAGCAGTTCATTAAGCCACCTGAATCGAAGTTTTAAATAGTCTTGGGGAAAAATAAAAAATACTACTCCAGAGCTGTGCTTTTTAGGTTGCCTTTAGCATTTAACCTATTTAGGACAGAGAACTATATGAAATGACCTTGTGAAGTTAATTTCCATTTCTTAAAGTGATCACCAAGATGTCTATAACATCTATGGCCATATTTCAAGATTAATTTCTGCCTTCAGAATTCAGAGAACATTTTCACCTAGCTCTTTCTTAAAACTAAGTAATGAGTCATATTCCCTAGTTAATATCAAAATATATAAGGAACTCTTGCAACTCATTACCATAAAAAACAAAAAGCCAAATTAAAAATAGGCAATAACCTGAGTAGACATTAGTCAAAGTAGACAAATGGCCAACAGGTATATGAAAAGGTGGTTAGTGTCACTAATCAGCAGGGAAATACATTCTGTTAGAATGCCTGTTTTTAGAAAGATAAACAATAACAAGGAATGGTGTAGTTGCAGAGAAAAGGGAACTCTTTTACTGTTGTTTGATATATAAATTGATATAACCATGATGAAAAACAGTAAGGAAATTCATGCAAAATTAAATATAGAACTATTCCATGATCCAGCAATCTTAATTCTGAGTACATATCCAAACAAGATGAAATCAGTTTCTCAAAGAGATATCTGCACCCCCATGTTCATTGCAGCATTATTTACTAACAAAGATGTGAAGACAACTTAAGTGTCCATTGACTGATGAATGGTTAAAAAAAATGTGATTTAGATATATATAAATTTTATATGTAAAATTTAAAATGTCAAATTCATAGAATAGTGGTTACTGGGGCCTAGGGGAGGGAGGCTCTGGGGAGATGTTGGTCAAGGGGTACAAAGTTTTAGTTTTGCAAATAAATAAGTGTGGTAGGTCTAATGTGCAACAATGAGACTATAATTAGTATTGTATTGCATACTTATAATTTGCTAAAGAATACATTTTATGTGTTTTTATCACAAAGAAAAGATAACTGTGAGGTGATAGTTATGTTAATTAGCTGATTTTGGTAAATGTATCACAATATATCAGATCAGATCAATATATCAGATCTTATCAGATCAATAATTTGTTCACCTTAAGTATGCACTATTTTATCATCAGCTATAACTGAGTACATCCTAGCTGGTTTGAAATGGAAATTATGAAGCTAGGGAGGTGAGACTAGGTAGATATCATCATGTGCGATTTTTGCCCCCTCTGACAAAAATTTTTAAAAGAAAACTTTATGGTAAGAACATTTGAGATTTACCTTCTTACCAAATTCTTAAATGTGGAATGATACCACACTTTGACTTGTAGTGATATGTGGTCATTTTCAGTGCTAGTCCCTTTTATTTTAATAAAAACTTCTGCCAAGTCAGATTTTCACACATCCTATTGTAGTACGGTTGTCTTTTGAATCACAGAGTGGAAAGTGTTCCTTGTGTTGGCTAAATTTCATTTTTCAGATATTAGTCTGTAATACCATTCTGTTGTTCTTATTTTCAGTAAAATAACTCCCAGATTTATGTCACTTTACAGTTTCACAAGCTTCCCTTCTAAGTCGTTATTCAAATCACTAGTGAATCTGCAGCAGAACAGGGCCTGACAACATTATGTAACACAATGAAGACTGCCATTTTGTTTACCACTGATGTCCTTGTGGCCCAATAATCAAATCATGTATAAATATGTTTGCTCTCTACTTCCTTCCCATTCATGTTTCTTAATTTGGCTGGTAAGATAATTATGAGAGTCTTTGTCAGATACTAGCTGAAATGAAAAAGTATTCAAATGAGGCTTTTTAAAAATAATAATGCTTCAAATTGAAATTGTACCCTATTAAAGTTTGCATTTCAGAAGAAGGTGGGTTAAAGAATAAATTAAACTTATATATTCTTCATGATAATTATGGAGGAACTTATTCAAATTTTAAAGTTCAACCACTATTTACTCCATTTATAAATATGCAAATTTACTCCATTTATAAATATGTATAGACTACATAAATTTATTACTTTCATTTAATTTTATCTTCTATCAAGAGTAACATAGTGTCAGAAACTAAAGAAATAGAATTTTATAGATGTTGTTAGGCATGGATTGTCATTATTACTACTGCTCTTTTATAAATGCCATGTTTATCAAGGAAAGTAACCAGAGTTAATATTATTGATATTATCCACATTTACAAATTGTTATTTACAACTATGCTTGGTGATTTATTCTCCTTTATACGTTACTTGTAAAGAAAGAAAATTAACTTTAAGACATGAGCATTCTTACACATTTACATTTAGGTCCTTAAGTGCCACCATTTCTTCCCTGATCAAGAGTTAAGTAGCACTCGGCTCTTTTAGACATATTGATGCATTGGTACATGTGTATAACCATCCACAAATTCTGAAAGCTAAGACCAGTATTTTTTTCATTTCATTGAACCTTGTAATAGAAAACAATAGAAATGTTTAAGAATTTAAAATACTTTATTATTCACTGTTGTCAATAAAACTCTTATCTTTTGATGATAGGTGTCTGACCAGGAAGGAATTGAATATCATTAAGTTTTTTGCAATGAAATATAAAGTATGTGGCAGGTTTTAGCCACTTATTCTTGACATAATGTCTTTAAGGGAAGAAGAACATTACATTTCAGTTAAATTATTAGCTTGTTTTTTTTCTCAGTGATTAAATAGGTAGTAGCTTCTCTATCAATATCTCATGATTATGGTGAGATCCAAACATGTACACTTACTTTGAAAAATAGCAACCATTATAGAAAAATACTGCTATTTTTAAGGCATGCACATTCTGATCAGTTAATTCCTTTTCTTTTTCTCTTTAACCTTTTGTGTAGCATTTTCTATAAGTATAATAAGCCATTGTTTATTCCAAGTAAAATACCAAATTTTTGTTTGAAATTTTATTAGTAGGTTTTACTTTTTGTTGTCTGTTGAGCTGCTCAATTTTAGGTTATAAAGTGTTCATTTAATAAAATATAAAAATAATAGCAGCTCTAAGAGTTGCTCTTAACACCATCAGTGTTGGGTGGCAATATATATCTGAAATTTGTGGGCTTTAAAAAGTTTTAACCTCCTGAATTTCTTATTTGAATCTTTTATATGCCATTAATCTTCTTTTAATTTGCTATAATTTTTGAAGTCCTGTAGTTAAAACACTTGACTGGCACATTTTTTGTTTCACAGTCTTTATGGATTAACACAATTTTTAAAATTTAACTAATGTTTGAATAGTGATCCTAAGTCCTAGATGGGAATGTGTGAGAGAACTGTAGGGATGAGGAACATGGAGGACCACCTG